GGTCGACACCAACACAGAAATGTATATTGCAGGTTCCTAAAACTTTCCCGAGAAACATATTTCAAGTATTTAATTCTATCACAGAGGAAACCTTTTAGAAAGTTGTAATCAATCTAAAGAAAATCTTCCTTTGAATTTGTTTAAATGCAGAAAGGAGGGCTCACCTTACATACTTTCCCTAAAACTTTACATCTCTCCTTTTGCCTAAATCTTCACCATAAAGAGCTTCTGAGAAAATGTGTTGGGGTGGAAAAAAGGGGTATTGAGAACTGACAAACAAGTGAGTGTTCTCTTTATTTAAGTGACAGGTGTTGGGACCATGTTTACAACACGTGAAACACGTCTAATTATTTAGAAAAGCCTGGTGCACCCTCACCCATTGTCATGAGACCCACCTGCTCTTGACATTGCACTAGGCCAAGGTGTCTAGACAGTGTCCTCTAGTCTGCATGACCTCTAGTCACCTTTATGTGACTTACTAAAAGGCACCCCTGCCACCTGTTGGAAAATTGTTGCAGTATGCTGATTTTGTTAGAAGGCTCTTTGTTGCCTTATGACAGACACTTGTCATGATAACTATACAAACCCATGATGTGAATAGCACCCCCTCAGACATGGCACCATTGTGTAGTGCATGACCTACACTATTATATGAGACATTTGCAAGTAGATAAAAAATAGAAATCACGATGGCAACACTTACCTGTAACATGAACATTAGAAACCATGCTCATTGCAATAATGCCTGGGAAGTTCCCATTCAGCAAGTTGGTGGTGCTGAAATATGGAGGTAGGGTGTGGGGTGGGGAGGATTCTTTCATTGATAGCTTCCATTATTGAGAACAAGAGCCAGCCTATTGCTCTTTATATGTGTTTCAGTCCGTTAAATAGAGCCTGCAAATTCCAACTACTTAGCCAAATGGAAAAGATTCTCTGTTTACAGAGAAAACACAAAGCTTGCTTCTTCCCCATCATTAAGCAGGCTGAGTATACTTAGCAGAACTTTTCCATTTAGGTATCCAAGTTAAGACTATCAGTGACTTTTTCCTTGAAATCTAAACATTTTAGAAACATTTTGCAGGGAAAACTGTTCACAGGCCTGTTAAAAAAAATCAAATAAATAGTTTGGGGGTTTCCATCTTGGAATTAGAATGTTTATTTAAGAAACTCTAATAAGCCCTCTTTCAAGCCCATGAAAATTATAGTCAGAACCAAGTGGTAGACAAAGGATCCAGGAAATAGCTATTGATTTGTGAGGGACAGAGGGAAAGAAAAAGCCAGGAAAGGAAGGAACTGGATGAGAAACTTTTTGTAATGATCCTTAATTCCTTCAACTTTGAAAAACTATTTCACTGGCAGTAGAATTTAAAACACTCTCACTCTGCAACTACCTCTCCCAGGCAATAGGTAGCGCCCAGGGCATAGCTCAGGCTGGGCTTCTATGAGCAAAGACATGAATGTAGGTGGGGCTGACGCTCTGATTACAAGACTTAGTGCAAAAAGGATTTTCAATGGGGGCAGGCAGAGCAATATGGGAAAGTCCAAAGCATCGTGCCCAAGGGATTGGGCAGATATCAGGAAAAGAATCTGAAAACTGGAAAGAAGAGACCCTGATTGGTAAGGGAAGATTGTGCCTCAAAGATTCCAAAAGGATGCTAGAAGTGGACCCTTTTATAGGGTGCCCACAAGTGAGCCCTAAGCAGGGAGAAGCCCATGAAAGAAAACTCTAACCTGCCTTTTTATTTACTTTTCAAAACTTCCATAGTGAAGAAATCAGAAAATAGTGGGGAACATATGGTATCAATGCATAGGGGTGGGTTACAAAAGATAGCCAAAAGTTCTATGAAGAAATGCCCAGGGCATGGGCAAAGTATATTTTGATCAAAATGACAAAGCTGGATGAGCACCTGGAAGTATATGTAGACGTGTAATAGTTCTGAAGTAGCTACACTGGAGATCAAAGGCTCTGAGTGATTTAGAAGAAAAAAGTAGCTTAGTCAAATATCATTGATGACATTTAACATTTTTACCTTATGCATGTAATTATTCTATATAAATAGAATCCAAAATCAGTGACCTATATAAAGTTATTTAATAAATGAGTATGCTTAGAATTCCACACTTACTTGTTCTCTGCATTTCCAGTTTCAGTGAAGTAATGATGAGGTATATAGGTATCCTTACTGTCCTTACTATCACTTATATTTTTCGATTCAGTAATGACATAAACCCTATGGATGTTTAGGTAGACCCATAATCCCCAGTTGAGCATTAGTTACTGTGTGGTTAATGTTGTGTGACTTAGTATACCCACCAGCTGCATGGTCAGGGTGGTAGAAAAGAAACTTCCCCTGGAAGGACAGTCTTCTTGAAATATTCAATGACCTTTCCTTTTAGTAGATGTGACTCTTCAGTGTCTTCAGCTATTATACAACCAAGAAAATTAGTAACTTTACCCTCTGGGCATGAAGTGGAACTGGATGGAAAATAAAGATAAGAAATCAGAAACCTCCTCTCCATGGGTCTACTGAAGGGATATTAAAGTCATTGGCTCTCGCCCTTGGCCTCACACTAGAATCACCTGGGACTGTTACAAATTCTAATACCCAGACCATACCCTGGACTAATCAAATCAGAATCTCTTACGATGGGACCTAAGCAGCAGTGGTGTGTATGGGGGTCAAGGGAAAGTGGGATGAGTGGGGGAGGGGGTATGTATCCACAGATAGTTCCTTTTGAGAATACCTGGATTGAATGAAATAAGACAAGTGCCTGACATACATTTAGTGACCAGTGAGTATATGCACCACCCTTGAATTGCTTCCTGCTACTCCATGTCTCCCTTTTGTGTCTGTCCCTATTGTGCCTGTCTTGGTCTTTCCAAGAGTATCATAGGTGACTTTGCCTCAAAATTTCGAGAATTCATTTTTGACTTCATGCTGGCGAAGGCAGAACTCTCTTATTTTCTCACTTTTTCTTTCTTTTTAATTTTTTAGAGACAAAGGCCTCCCTCTGTCTCTCAGACTGGAGGGCAGTGGTACAATCATAGCTGACCGCAGGCTTGAATTCCTGGGCTCAAGCTCTCCTTCTGCCGCAGCTCCCAGAGTAGTTGAGCCTATACATACACCACCATGTCCAACTAATTTTATTTTTTATTTTTTGTAGAGACAGGGTTTTGCTTTGTTGCCCAGGCTGGTATTGAACTCCTGGCTTCAAGCCATCCTCCCACCTCAGTGTCCAAAGTTCTGGGATGACAAGCATGAGCCACTGCACCTGGCTCTTTTCCCACTTTTAATATACGATCTCATTATTTATTTTGTTACTTTATCTTCCAATATTGCTTAACTTCTTTCACCTATGAGCCTCAGAATCTGTGGGTTTAGGAAGAATCATTACTTCTGTGTCTCTAGGTTTTTAATTTAGCCAAACCTTCTCGAGCACTGCAGAAAAATCAGGTGGAAATAAAGTTTAAGGAATAAAGGGAGTTTTTAAAATTAGAATACAACTCATCCATTTCAATTCAATTCAATTCAAATGCCTTTCTCTTTTCCAAGCATTTTTAATAAGCTCACTTAAGAGTCTTGTTGAAAAATAAATAAATTACACTTGTTTTCATTAAGAGAAAGATCTTTTTCCATTTTTGCTGGTATTGTTGAAGGAAACAAAAAGGAGTCTAAAACTTGGCAAAGGAGTACATTATTAGTGACATATTGGTCACAGATGTACTGGTAGAGCTACATTTTCTTCCTGCCATTAGGATTTTAAGTGCCCACAAATTACATATGAAAGTCCAGATAACTTTCTTACAAAAGGGAAAGATGAAAACAATTATGACACTTGCAAAATCTTCATTTTTAAGATAGCTAAATAAGTTTCTGTGAAAAAGAAAGTGACACACGTTTATCTGCTAGCTTTTCTTTTAAAGAAAAAATAGTGCTGGATGATGCCAACATTTACTCGATGTCATCAATTCCAGATGTTTTAAACAAGTGAAGATACCTGTACCTGCGATACTCTTTGGCAACACTTGTGAATAATAAGATTTCCTTTCCTTAACCATTCTTAAGAAAATCAAGAAGGCAAAATTTAAGATGTAGAAAGGAACTTTCTTTAGTAAATTTATGGCTCAAATCTGCAGGCCTGTGAAGCAGAATATGAGGAGTTTAGCCAAATTTCGTTCCACTGCAGAAAGTCCTGCAAGGACTTTAGGGAGAGTATTGACACACCAACTCTGGAAACAGGGTTAGGTTAGGATTCACCTGGAAGGAAACAGTGTTGGCATCAGGATGCCCATTAAGGTAGTTGTAATGGATGAATATAATTCCAGATCTAAGGCTCTGACTAAAAGGATGTCATGGAAGGAAAAGGTATGTTGTAAATGAAAATGGATCAAGAAACGGATTTGACAGCCATTGAAATAATAATGGCAAGCTAAATCTTTATTGTAAGACTTCTTGAAAAATTTGTATTCACCTTGATGAGAACACTCGATAGGAGAATAACTCCTAGAAGGATGACAGTTGCCTCAGTTTTCATCATGTTTAAGTTGGTAAGTGAACCAGTTGGAAATATCATGCAAATTGAAAGTGATATGAAATTGAACAAAGGAATGAGTTTACTGCCTATGTAATAAGCTGAATTATGACAGAAAAAATATGGCCTAGTTTCCTTATATGTAGGTAGAAATTCATTATGTGTTTGCATTTTTAATTTTATAAGAATATGCATTGTAAGATGATTTAGCGATCTGATTATTACAATGGCAGGTGGCTTTAAATCAGGAGCTTGTAATATATTTTTCAGTCTCAAAGCTATTTGATGTACTATCAAGGGAATGTCAGTGTTTGATTCTAATCCAGTGCTGTCTGGTATCTTGTGTGTTACTTCATTTTAAAAGTTCAAGACGTCATACTGTACAGCTTTTTAAAAGCCTGTAGGGAAGACTTCAAGTTCTTTTCATTCTCAGCAGTACCTTGTTTTCTTGCTTCCCATTTTCCTAGGAAAGTGACAATATTGGAGGACCCTGATCAGAACATTCACCTGAAAAACTTATCTCTTCATCAGGCAACCACAGAGGAAGAAGCTCTGAATTTGCTCTTTTTAGGAGACACCAACCGAATGATTGCAGAGGTAATGAACTTCCCTCTGCAAGCTATTTTTCCAACATTGTAAGATATAGTATCTGAAACCAAGGTGGAGAAAAAAATATATAGCAGAAATTTAGGGGCAACACTAACCTTAAAAATAATCTAATTCAAATCTTACATGCAGGTAAAGAAGCCCAGATCTAGAGAAGTGAGGAGACTTTTCCTAGGTCACCCAGCTAGCTAATGAGCAGGAACAGAAATTGAGACCTCTGGATTCTCAATTCACTGCTTTTTCTATTTTAGTGTATTTTTATATTTTTAGGTTTTATACAAATTGGCTTGTAAATTAATGACAACTTATTACATGTCTTAATTATAGGAAGTTTTTTATATTTTCTAAAATTTAAAAATACTCAGTCCATTTTTCCTAACCTGAAATTATCCAAATGTTGGCATGTGTTTATGTATCAATATGTTTTCATTTAGTTAGTGGGTTAATACGTATAAAGTACTTAGAACAATGCACTAAACATAAGAAGTACTCTGTGAATTTGCAGCTATTGTTGGCGTACCTGGGAACACCACCGTCGTGTCAGTGCAATATTTGGAACATACTTACATTAGAAATTATTCATTGTTAATCTGACATTCAAATTTAACTGAGTTCCTATTTTATCTGAGAATTCTATGCAGGAGCTAGGATTGACCCGGCTTCCTCAGGGGCCCAAATTGTAGCTGGTTTCTGATTGCGGATGGAAGGTTATGAAGCTCTCATCCAGCTACACGGTGGTGAAAGGAATGGCTTGGTAGTGGTGCTGATGGTGTGGGAACAGTTCCTCAGATGAACAGCCTGCTGTTATCACTGGCATTTTCTTTCTAAACCATGCTCCCAGAGTTCTACATTTTACCTTGTCTCTGATAACAAGTATTAGGTGAGGGTGGTAATCTGAAAGGTTAAGTAGTCCAAGGAAAATCTCCAGCAAGGTACCTTTTATTCAGCCCCACGTCTGCCCTCTGGAATATCCCACCTCAGAGGCGAGATAAACCAATACAAACCAAATTCAGATAGTGAAGGCATGGCATTGAGATCTGTTATTATTTTGGGCCCTTAGTTTTTGCTGTTGTGGCAGTTGTTTACTAGTTCTTCGTCAATACTTTTCAATACACTAGCTAACTTACATTGAGTGTATGTGCCACGCGTATGGATTTAAGGACTCTTAAACTGTTATTTTTGTTTGAAACAACATTCACATAGTTTTAAATATCAGAATACTTTTTTTTTGCTTTACAATATTTTGTATCTGTGCTCAGTACTCCAATGTTTTCCCCATTTGATCATTTGTGATGCTCTTATTTGTCAGAATAATTGAAGATCAAGGAAAAAAGGTTGAATAAGAATTAGAGCATATAATGACAAAAGATTTAGCATGCTCCACTAAATCCTGTTCCTCCATATATAGTTTAATAAACAGCGAAACAGAAAATACAGAATAGAGTTGGGTCCTGTCCACAAATGGTTATGAAAAAGAGACCAGATAGATTCATAAAACAAGTAGAGGAACCTGTTGCTGCCTCAATGCCAACTGACTCTCTTTCAGAGGTGATCCATCCTTACAGAATTACAGGCCTCATCCTTGCTGGTTACTTTCCCTCATCCTCAATGGGTTATGGAAACGTCCTTAACCTGTTCTACCATGACCGTCAGTAGTTTAAAAGCTTAGCCATTTGCTCTTTCAAAGTTATGCATGAACTTTAGCTAACTACAGGGTTTCAGGCTGTGGTTTTACAATGTTTTAAGGAACTTCTTTCATGAAACTTTCCTGTCTTACCACCTTACAAAATTCCAAGTCTTTTTATTTTTTATTTTATTTTTTAAATTTTTTGAGACAAAGTGTTGCTCTGTTGCCTAAGCTGAAGTGCCGTGGTGTGACGGCTCACTGAAACCTCCACCTCCCGGATTCAAGCCATTCTTGTGCCTCAGCCTCCCGAGTAACTGGGACTACAGTCGTGTCCCACCACACCTGGCTAATTTTTTTGTATTTTTTGTAGAGACGGGGTTTTGCAATGTTAGCCAGGCTGGTCTGGAATTCCTGACCTCAAGTGGTCTGCCCACTTCAGTCTCCCAAATGCTGGAATTACAGTCATGAGCCAGCACGCCTTGCCAGAATTCCAGGTCTTTTCCTATTACTTACTAGTGAGTGTCTAATATTATAAATAGCTGAAACCTGAAGAAGTCCAATCCTAATGATGCTGGTTGTGCATTAATTTTTGTTTAATTTTTTAGTTTTCCTATATAAAGCCCGATTTCTACTTGGGAGGCTGAGGCAGGAGAATTGCTTGAACCCAGGAGGCGGAAATTACAGCAAGCCGAGATTGCGCCACTGCACTCCAGCCTGGTGCCTGGTGACAGAGCAAGACTCTGTCTAAAAAAAAAAAAAACAAGTCTAGTAGGTTTTGATTGTTTTTGTGCTTGCTTTTATCTTTTCTTTGGTAATAATAATTACCATGTTATAATGAGAACCTGCTTAGTATAAGCCATTGTTGTAGACATGTTTCATATATATATATATATATACACACACATATATATGTATATATATATATATACACACATATATATGTGTGTGTATATATATATATATATATATATCCTTTCTGATTCTTATTTTATAGATGAAAACTGAGGCTCACAGAGTTAGATTACTTGCCCAAGGCCACACACTGCTGAGTAGTAGAGTCAGGACTCAGCTCCGTGTCTGACTGACTCAGAAACTTCCACTCTTTCCTTATGCCAATTTCATGAGTGTAGTAATCAAATCGACATCTGTCAAATGTTTCAAGTGATGATATATTTCTAAATTATTTTAAAGTATATCCAGTACTTAGCACATTAGTTTATATCTTGAATGCAGTGAAAGCAAATACATAGAACTATAAATGAAGAATAACTATCAACCCCTGGAAATTCTTTATTATTCAGAGTCTCCAAAAAAGCATGTTTTGGATTACAAACTAACTGTCAGAATGCAATTTGTCAGCACAGGACAAGCTTACCAGGATAAAAAGAACAAACTAATCATTTTTTTAAAAAAACGAAGTTCCCCATTTCCCATTTACACAGAGGAATCCAGAAGTTGCCGTGGTAACCAGAAAACATTTGCAAAACAAAGTCTGAATATGTGGGACACAAAGTGCAGTGCTCTTTCCTTTCATGTTCTTTACCCATAGCCAGCATTTTAAGGAAAAGTTATTAAGAGCAGCTTCAGCCTCTTCTATTTATTCAGAACTCTTAAGTAATTTCAGCAATCCTACCAATGTTTTGAATAAAACCTGATTATGTCCCTAGGATAAATTTTTTTTTAAAGTTGAATTGCTGGGCCAAAGAGAATAAATATTATAAAAGCTGAACTATGTGTGACCCAACATCCAAGTCCACCAGTAGCGAGTGTAACTTGATACTGTTTTGTCTTATAGTTGAAATATTTCCATCAATTCATCAAATGTAATTGAACAAAGCAGTCTGCATTTGATGATCAGGCCACGCATAGTGCCATAAACAGGACCGCTTGCCCCTACCTTGAAGGCAGAGTCCTACCCATGGTCTAGGGCACTCTGTGCCCAAGTATGGTCCTAGGGAAACCTGTATTACAATACCATATGGTAGTCAAATGATGCAATTTCTTAGATTACATTTCTGGTTGATGGATTCAGAATCTCTTTCATGGAGCCCAGGAATGTGCATTCTAACATTTTAAATGTGTTCAGGCTACATTTGGGAGCAGTCTGGGCTTTACCCTTGAGAAAGCTGATTGAACCTGAATTTTTTTTGGATAGTAGGCTATTAATTGCTGCCTTAACTTCAGACCTTGTTACTGGTCTATTCAGGAATTCCACTTCTTCCTGGTTTAGTCTTGGGATAGTGTAAGTGTCCAGGAATTTATCTATTTCTTGTATATTTACTGGCTTATGTGCATAGAGTTGTTTGTAGTAATCTGTGGTAGTAGTTTGTATTTCTGGGGAATTGGTGGTGATATCCCCTTTATCATTTTGTATTGCATCTATTCGATTCTTTTCTCTTTTCTTTTTTGTTAGTCTGGCTAGCAGTCTATTAGAATGGCGATCATTAAAAAGTCTGGAGACAACAGATGCTGGAGAGGATGTGGAGAAATAGGAACACTTTTACACTGTTGGTGGGAGTGTAAATTGGTTCAACCATTGTGGAAGAAAGTATGGCGATTCCTCAAGGATCTATAAATAGAAATACTATTTCACCTAGCAATCCCATTACTGGGTATATACCCAAAGGATTATAAATCATTCTATTATAAAGACACATGCTCATGAATGTTCATTGTGGCACTGTTTACAATAGCAAAGACCTGGAACCAACCCAAATGCCCATCAATGATAGATGGGACAAAGAAAATGTGGCACATATACACCATGCAGCCATAAAAAAGGATGAGTTCATGTCCTTTGTAGGGACATGGATGAATCTGGAAACCATCATTCTCAGCAAACTGACACAAGAACAGAAAACCAAAGACTGCATGTTGTCACTCATAGGCAGGTGTTGAACAATGAGAACACATGGACACAGGGAGGGGAACATCACACACTGGGGTCTGTTGCAGGGTTGGGGACTAGGGGAGAGATAGCGGGAGTGTGGGGAGGTTGGGGAGGAATAGCACTGGGAGAAATGCCTGATGTATATGACTGGGGGGGTGGAGGCTGCAAACTACCATGGCATGTGTGTACCTATGCAACAATCCTGCAAGATCTGCACATGTACCCCAGAACTTAAAAGTATAATAAAAAAAAAAGAAAAGAAAGCTGGTTGAAACCAACTCCCAGAGATAGAAAAACAAGCAGGTCTATATTCTACACCCTTGTCAACCCCACAACATTTGAAAATTCTGCCGATTTTGTAGACAAAAAAAGAAATCTTGTTTTAATTTGCATTTTGATTACCAAATACTTTTATATCTTTATTGGCCATTACATTTCTGTTTTTGTTCATGTCTTCTATTTGTTTTTCTCTTG